TTTGTTTTGCTCCTACTGCAGATGGAAGGGACATATTTAAAAGGGTTGCGATAAGTTGCAGACTAAAGGCGAATTAGTTGCAAATTGTGGAGCACAACCTTTGACTTTAGACAAAACAGATGTTGTTGAGGATTTTTCAGATGGTGGAGACGTGATGTTAACCATGGCATCTGATGTGGAGTCTAGGCCTGACAACTAGTGGGTTCTCGATTTGGCATGTTGGCATCATATGTGTTCCAATCAAATTTTCTTTCAGATATATGAGGCTGTTCAATGAGGTGGAGTTGTAATAGGAAACAACCAGTCTTGCAGCATTGCTGGAATTGATCGAGTCAAATTGAGGCTGCTGGATGAGACATTCAGAACAATTGTACAAGTTCAACACGTTCCTGTCCTGAAAAATGAATCTTATCTCGCTGAGTGCCCTAGATGCAAAGGTTATAAATTCTCTAGTGGAGGTGAAGTCTTAAAGGTCGGAAGAGGTGTTCGAGTTATACTTGAGGGACGAAGAAGGTCTCAGTTGTACATATTGTAGGGAAGCGCGGAACAAGTTAAGAAACATTTGGACAAATTTAGTACCATGGTGGATATTCAGTTTGGTACAGTACCTCTTCTGATGGGCTTTCGATCGGTTCAAAACATTGATTGAGGAAGTGTTGGTGATTCCTCTTTGCCACCAATTTCAACGATTGACTATGTTCAGTTGCTAGGGTTAGATTCATTGAGCGTAGATATCATGGTATTAGTGATATCTGTAATCATTTTGGGGACGTTAAAGGCTACAGTTTTAGCAAAGGGCCTTCTGCTCAGGCATTTTGTATGGTTTCTGCCATAGGGTGAGCTTCGACCCTATTTGGTAAACATTAATTCTTTGGTGGAATTTTGGGAAACCAGGAGTAAGGTTCAGGTGTCGCTTGTGGACGTCGTACAGAGGACGATAGTTTATATAGAGAGTTTTGGTTATTGCATTGAGGAGATTGACAATTTCATTTCGATGCAAATGAGTTTATTTCTCAGATGGAGAAATTTTGTGGAGCTCCGCTCGTTGCACCGAAATTTGAGTCAAGGTGGAGATTATTAACTCAAATAAGGTTAGGAGTCCTGTGAGATTGCGTATTTGATTTTTACTTGAAAAAGAAGATTGTATCCAAGTTGAATAAGGAAAGGAAATCCTCTCTTGGTCGAAGTTCTATGTACAGCTGTAACATAATTTTAATAGATTTTCTTACCTTTCAAGACTCTTCTAGGGTTTGGAATGTGGCTTATAAATATTAGGCCCCTCTATCAATTTTGTTTAAGCATTATTACTGTGTATGTAATTAGGGCTGGGCAAATCTCTCGAACCGAACCTAATCCGAACTGAACCGAACTCGATGGTTCTTGTCAAATTAAATACCCAAACGGGTATCTGAATTGAGAACCGACGGGTACGGTTCGATTTTCGATTCTAGACCAAGAACTGAAGAACCGAACAAGAATCGAATCTTTCTAATTTTTTTTTTTTTGAGTAAATCAAATTATTTTAATTTTAATTTTTTCTAAACAAATTAACAAATTCTAAATTCAAATTTTTGGCCAAATAATTTGTTTCATTTCTAATTTTTTAATTTTTGGCTCAATTACCCATTTTATTATTTCATTTCTTAGCCCAACAAAACCCAATCCACTAAATAACCCTAAACACCTACACTAAAGTATATAACGTTGTCTAGACTCTCGCACTCACTCTCGCAGCCTCGCTAATATTCCAAAACCTATACAATCGTCGGCCGACACTGTGACCTCCGATCGAAATTGTGACCTCCGCTGACCGAAGCTTTGACCGTAACGATCATTTGAACAAGGTAGTCTACTAGTCTCTGACATTTCAAAACCATTGAATGTATTATTAGTTGTATTTATATAATGTTGTTATAAATGTTAAAAATTTTAATTATAGTACAGAATCGAACCAAACTGAACATAACCGAACCCGAACGGTTCCATAATTATATTTGGACCCGACGGTTCCATTTACTAGATACCCAAAAATTTTGGTTCGGTTCAGTTCAGTTTTAAAGAGAACTGAACCGACCCGCGCCCACTCCTATATGTAATTTCTCTCCATAGTGTCAGTTAATATACATCGTTTCTCTGCTATTAACTCTCTTCGTTCTTCTTTACTTTTAATCTTGATTCTTGTTATGATCTTTATTATTTCATATTATGTCATTAATCTCATTCATTACAATTTCTCTGGATCCAACACCCCTCAATGGAATTACTCCCCCCTAGCTTTCCCATTGATAAGGAAAGAAAAACAATAGGTTGATATGCGTTTCATAATCAAGTTGTCGACCTAGCAAAGATCATTTCGTCTTTAACACCCAAAACACAAACACAAACTCAAACTCTCACTCCACCCAATCATTCGCCTTACTCATATCCAATTTAAGGGCCACAAAGCACTTAGTCCCATTACACATCTTCACCATCAAATGAAGCAACTAAAATGTTGCTATAACTTTATCTGTGATAAACCTGCCAAGGACAAAAGCACTCTCATATATCATAGCGGGAGGATCTTTTGAAGACAGTTAGCCAATGTCTTGGAAATCATTCTAGGAGTTACTTTTTTAGGAATCACAGCTAGCCAATGTCTTGGAAATCAGTCTAGGAGTTACTTTTTTAGGAATCACAATCAATTATGTTAATTTGCCACTTCAAGTAATCAATCTACTGATTTCGTATATGAAAACCCATTTTCAAATCACAACTCTACATTGCACAAGAATTAATGAATCAACACTTAAGTCCACAGACATCACAATATGATATCTTACTATCCTAGAGTGGTTAAAAAATTATTATTCATCGTATATTATTCTTCATGTTGCCTTATATTAACAATCCTAGTTATATCTAACACCATCAAAATGTGACAGTCTACATATAATAATCCACGATGATTTCAAGTCGAAAGAACAATTTTACCACGATAATTCATAGATGGTGCATTGATACTAAAGTTATACAAAAATCATTTGTTAAACTTGTTTAGATAATAAGCATTCACATATTCATTCCAAATGTCTCCACACTTGATGCAGGAGGATCCGAGTTGAGTGATGCTGATTTGTCAGATAACACAATGATGGCGTTGAGATACCATGAGATGACAAATCAGGGCAAAGATGGGAAGTGAATCGCAATTATTTCCTTAATTGGGGGAATTTTACATATCTTTAGTAATTTGGCCATAACTTTGGCTACGGTTATCAGAATCGCTATTATGACCCCAACCCGAAAAGCTCTCTTCGGCACGCATGTCGTGGCCATGAGCCTATGCTCGATGGGCATCAATTTCGAGCCCAAAATCCACTATTTTCCTTTCCAAAATTAAATTTTTAGTTATTTTTTGCTATTTATGGTAATATTTCGTTTCCCTTTTTCCATATGTTAGAAAACTCAAATTGAGCCAAATTTTTGGGAACCTACTTCTTTTATTTAATATTTTATTCTGGTGTAATTTCGGGATTTTGCCATTTTTGGTAATTTTCCTATAATTTCGTATTTTGCAGCTATTTAACTCGACTTGTAGGTTAATTTTGGTCATTCAACATTATTAATAATATTGAGTTGATTTCAGAGTATTTTCTCTGATTTTTGGGCATTTTTCTTTCGTTTCTTTCTTGTGAATCATCTGCTGCAACAATCCAATAGGATAATCACTATCCTACTCGTCGTCAGTTAGTATTAGAGCATCTGCATCTTCTTGGGAGATAAATTTCATCAGTTATAATGGTTGATGGACGTGGTCGTGGTCGTCGAGGGCAGGTTCCGATTGAGGAAGTCTCACACCGTGATCGTAATATTCAGGATGTGACGATTGAAGATTTGCAGAGACAAGTTGCGGAGTTAACCCAACATTTGGCGGAGCAGGAGTTCGGTAATCATGATGTGGAGGGTCACGATTTTGACACCAGTTTCAAAAACTTGTATCACCATTGTGCTCGAGTTTGGGAGCATCGCGGACGGGAGGATCGTCATGTGGATCGCGATTTTAGAGTGGATCTGCCCCAGTTTTCTGGTACGTTGCAGGCTGAAGGATTTATTAATTGGCTAAATGAAATGGAGCGGATTTTTGAATATAAGGTGGTTCCAGATCGTGTCAAAGTGAAACTGGTCGCCATCAAACTCAAAGGTAGAGTATTTGCATAGTGGGAATAGTTGAAGCGTTCACGGGAGCGACAGGGGAAATTCAAAATTGCTGACTGGGAGAAGATGAAGAAGAAAATGAAAGGGCACTTCCTCCCTTTCGGCTACACTCAAACCTTTTTTCAGAGGCTCCATTCATTGAGGCAAGGTGCAAGATCAGTCAATGATTATACTGAGGAATTCTATCAGCTGGTGGCTCGGAATGATTTATCTGAGACGGAGGAGCAGATGGTAGCACGGTATTTGGGAAGATTAAGGCAGCCCCTGTAGGATGTTCTCAGACTTCATTCATTGTGGACGGTTTCTGAGGCATATTAGCGGGCACTTGCAGTGGAGAAACAACATAGTAGGAGGCCAGTGGTCAGAGGTGAAGGTAGTCAGCCAGTTCGCCCTCAAGAATCTCGTCCTACTTATCAGCCACAACGGGACAATTCCAGCAAAAGTATTAAGCGTTTCATGTGTGGTGAACAGGGGCATAGGGCGACTGATTGCGGGAAGCCTGCTGGTCAGAAGAATAAAAATATTCTGATTGAGGAGGCTATGATAGAGGAGTTCGAGGAAGTTGGGGAGCCTGTGTATGATGATGGTGAAGATGAGGACGTGCTATATGGAGATGGCCAGGAGACCCTGGTCATTCGAAAGAGCCTGCTGACTCCCAAGGGTGATTCAGGGGACGATTGGTTGAGGAACAACATTTTCCACACAGCCTGCACAGTTGCTGATAAAGTCTACAAGCTATAATTGATAGTGGCAGTTGTGAGAATGTAGTGTTTGAGGAGGCTATCGAGGAACTGCAACAAAAGATGGATCATCATCCCAAACCATACAAATTGTCTTGGATGAATAAAGGCGACGAGGTAACCATAGAAAAACGGTGCTTAGTGTCTTTTTCGATTGGAAAAAAATATTTGCATAATGCTTGGTGTGATGTGGTATCAATGGACGCGTGTCATGTTTTGTTGAGACGATCTTGATAGTATGATCGCAATGTTATCCATGATGGGCGAAAGAATACTTATTCTCTTAGCATCAAAAGGAAGAAAATTGTTTTGGCGCCTTGCAAAGAAAACATCCCTGTCTCGGTAGTTAATAACACTAATCTTCTTTCTATGTCCAGGCTCTTGGTTGAGGTTGGGCGTGAAAAAATAGTTTATGCTTTAATGCATCGTGAAAATAGTGCAACAAATGTGGATTCGAAATTAGCAGCAGAAGTGCAGCAACTACTGATGGAGTTTTCTGACTTGATGCCAGAGGATCTTCCTCCAGGATTACCACCTATGAGGGACATTCAACATCAGATCGATCTTATTCTGGGGTCGAGTCTACCAAACCGACCAGTGTATCGCCGCAGTCCCAAGGAAGCTGAAGAGTTGCAGCGGCAGGTGGTAGATTCAACCTGCCAAGGAAGCTATGCTCGGTGGGCATCAATTTCGAGCCCAAAATCCGCTGTTTTCCTTTCCAAAATTCAATTTTTAGTTATTTTTTGCTATTTATGGTAATATTTGGTTTCCCTTTTTCCATACATTAGAAAACTCGAATTGAGCCAAATTTTTGGCAACCTACTTCTTTTACTTAATATTTTATTCTGGTGTAATTTCGGGATTTTGCCATTTTTGGTAATTTTCTTATAATTTCGTATTTTGCAACTATTTAACTCGACTTGTGCGTTAATTTTGGTCATTCTGCATTATTAAAAATATTGAGTTGATTTCAGAGTATTTTCTCTGATTTTTGGGCGTTTTTCTTTCGTTTCTTTCTTGCGAATCATCTGCTACAACAAGCCAATAGGATAATCACTATCCTACCCGGCGTCAGTTGGTATCAGAGTGTCAGCATCTTCTTGGGAGATAAATTCCATCAGTTATAATGGTTGGTGGACTTGGTCGTCGAGGGCAGGTTCCGATTGGGAAGTCCCGCACCGTGATCGTAATATTCAGGATGTAACGATTGAAGATTTGCATAGACAAGTTGCGGAGTTAACCCAACGTTTGGCAGAGCAGGAGTTCAGTAATCATGATGTGGAGGGTCATGATTTCGATACCAGTTTCGAAAACCCGTATCACCATCGTGCTCGAGTTTGGGAGCATCGCGAACAGAATGATCGTCATGTGGATCTCGGTTTCAGAGTGGATCTGCCCCAATTTTCTGGTACGTAGTAGGTTGAAGGATTTATTGATTGACTGAATGAAGTGGAGCGGATTTTTGAATATAAGGAGGTTCTAGATCATGTCAAAGTGAAACTGATCGCCATCAAACTCAAAGGTAGAGCATCTGCATGGTGGGAACAGTTGAAGCATTCACGGGAGTGATAGGTGAAATTCAAAATTACTGACTGGAAGAAGATGAAGAAGAAGATGAAAGGGCACTTCCTCCCTTTCGACTATACTCAAACCTTGTTTCAGAGGCTCCATTCACTGAGGCAAGGCACAAGATCAGTCAATGATTATACTGAGGAATTCTATGAGTTGGTGGCTCGGAATGATTTATCTGAGACAAAGGAGCAGATGGTAGCACAGTATTTGGGGGGATTAAGACAGCCCCTGCAGGATGTTCTCAGCCTTCATTCATTATGGACGGTTTTTTAGGCTTATCAGCGGGCACTTGCAGTGGAGAAATAACAGAGTAGGAGGCCAGTGGTCAGAGGTGAAGGTAGTCAGCCAGTTCGCCCTCAGGAATCTCATCCTACTTATCAGCCACAGCGAGACAATTCCTGCTCAAGTATTAAGTGTTTCAGGTGTGGTGAACAGGGGCATAGGGCAACTGATTGCAGGAAGCCTGTTAGTCAGAAGAATAAAAATCTTCTGATTGAGGAGGCTATGATAGAGGAGTTCGAGAAAGTTGGAGAGCCTGTGTATGATGATGGTGAAGATGAGGACGTGCTATATGGAAATGGCCAGGAGACCCTGGTCGTTCGAAAGAGCCTGCTGACTCCCAAGGGCGATTCAGAGGACAATTGGTTGAGGAACAACGTTTTCCTCACAACCTGCACAGTTGTTGATAAAGTTTGCAAGTTGATAATTGATAGTGGCAGTAGTGAGAATGTAGCGTCTGAGGAGGCTATCGAGAAACTGCAACAGAAGATGGATCGTCATCCTAAACCATACAAATTGTCTTGGCTGAATAAAGGCAGCGAGGTAATGGTAGAAAAACGATGCGTAGTGTCTTTTTCGATTAGAAAAAAATATTTTGATAACGCTTGGTGTGATGTGGTATCAATGGACACGTGTCATGTTTTGTTGGGACGACCTTGGCAATATGATCGCAGTGTTATCCATGATGGGCGGAAGAATACTTATTCTCTCAGTATCAAAGGGAAGAAAATTGTTTTGGCGTCTCGCAGGGAAGGAAACATCCCTGCCCCGGTAGTTAATAAGACCAATCTTCTTTCTATGTCCAGGTTCTTGGTTGAGGTTGGGCATGAAAAATTAGTTTATGCTTTAATGCATCGTGAAAATAGTGCAACGAATGTGGATTCGAAATTACCAGTAGAAGTGCAGCAACTGCTGATGGAGTTTTCTGACTTGATGCCGGAAGATCTTCCTCCAGGATTACCACCTATGAGGGACATTCAACATCAAATAGACCTTATTCCGGGGTTGAGTCTACCAAACCAATCAGCATATTGCCTCAGTCCCAAGGAAGCCGAAGAGTTGCAGCGACAGGTGATAAAATCAACCTGAAAAGGAAGCTATGCTCTATGGGCGTCAATTTCAAGCCAAAAATTTGCTGTTTTCCTTTCCAAAATTCATTTTTTAGTTATTTTTTGCTATTTATGGTAATATTTTGTTTCCCTTTTTCCATATGTTAGAAAACTCGATTGAGCCAAATTTTATGGCAACCTACTTTTTTTACTTAATATTTTATTATTCTGGTGTAATTTCGGGATTTCGCAATTTTTGGTAATTTCCTATAATTTCGTATTTTGCAGCTATTTAACCCGGCTTGTGCGTTAATTTTGGTTATTCTGCATTATTAATAAAATTAAGTTGATTTCAGAGTATTTTTTCTGATTTTTGGGCCTTTTTCTTTCGTTTCTTTCTTGCGAATCATCTGCTACAACAAGCCAATAGGATAATCACTATCCTACCCGGCGTCAACACGTTAGTTTGTGAGATCAAATCCTTTCTTTGAAAGAAATACATGCAATACGTGCTAGCATATCCATGACAATGATATTTGTGTTTAGTTAACACATATAGCTAGAAATAGTTCAAGGATTAAACAACATAACGTGTATTTAAGTATCATAAATCTGTTGTGATTAACATGTCGTTATTATCCTTTTTCAAAATTAAGTATGCAAAATAAATTGTCAAATAAGTATGTAGAATAAGGTTTAGTCAGCTAAGAGGACAAAAATGAAAGAGGTAAAAAAATGTTTTAATTGATAGAAGTTAGCAAGTCTTTGGATAAATTTATCAATTATTAGAACTATAATGATACAATTGTATTTTGTTTCATTTATTAGTTATGCTTAAACAAACAAATTCCTCCCAATCCTATTTACGCAAGAAGTAAATATCTTTCATAATTTTATTTAAAGATTATGCTGATATTTCTTTGAAACAAAGACGGTGATCTTGATATATTAAACAATAACATACTAAAAATTATCAAGAAATGAAAGAAAAAGAGAAGGATTTTTTATTTTTTATTTTTTTATGTTTTTGTACTAATTTACATGGGAAATCTCCATAACAAAAATCTACTCTTTCCATCATGATAATAGAAAAATAGGCGCCAATACTAGTTTCAAAATTGATGCAATATATACAATATCGACATGTCTCAAGGCTTATAATCAAAAGTTGCGTATTTGCCAAACATACTCTGTCCTTGTAAAATTGCTTAATAATTCATTAATTTTGAACATCCATCTTACAGGATAACAATTTTATAAATTCCATGCTTCAATTTATGTTTCTGTTATAAAAACTTATGCCCATAAAAATATATGATGCCATTTTTCTTACATTTTATTATTTGAACTGTCCAAGAAGAGGAAACAATTAGTCCTTGTTTGGTAGAAATTAAAATTAAAATTTTAATCTAAATCAAAGTCAATAATTAATTTTATTCATATATTTTATGAAACTCACATCTTCTCAACCACACATTTCATCAACTTTTATCAAAATCTATTAAAATTAAAATTTAATCCCCACCAAATAGGAGCTTAAAATATTATTTTGAAACCCTAAATAGCAAACATGAAAATAGTACATGTTAAACTCAATAAAGGGGAATTATTTTTTAAAGTCAACGATGAAGTTCACTGTAGAAATTTTGAGAGTTTTCCTCCCTTCTTGAGTTTTTTGGATGTGTTTATCGAGGCCAATCCTAAGAATATTATCAAGGCCAATCCTGAGAATATTGAGGCCGTAAGCAATAAATTATTATGAAGTCTTACCATTTTTTTTTTTTTTTTTACAAACATAGATGAAGAAATAACACATTTATATTTTAACGAAGATATTTCTACAATTCAAAAGATAGCATAGCAAAATAAATCATCTCCATAAACTCGAGAAATTAGTGTATATAATATTTGGCAAAATTATCCCATTCCAGGATAAAATATTATCAGGGTATAAATAATAATCTCCAGGAATTATTAATTAGGAAAACATGAGTAATTTGTAAATTAGCAAATTCTAGAAAGTTTAAAAACTAATTGAAAATCATGAGAAAGTTTTAATAACCATAATTTGAAGTACTGAGAATATTATAAGGATGACGTGTAAAAAAGAAGAGTAATTTTCTAAGCTTAAACTCGAGATGGGGCCTAAGACACAAATTATAAAATTTAGGAACTAAAATTAAATAGTGAGGAGAATATATTTATAGATGATAAGGTGATGCATTAAGATTATTAATAATGAGAAAGATCACTAGATTCTAATGATTTTGGTTGAGATCTTGTCGGATTAAAATAAAATTAAGTTTCGAGATCAATAAAATATTTGGGTCAAATGTATATTTATTGGAGGATCGAGAATTACTCCATCAATATTGAACTCATTTCAAAAATCATATTAAATGGCACATTACAGACTCAAGAAAAATGAATTTGGATAAACCAAGTTTGAATTATAACACGTTAAAGTAAACTAGTTGATGAATAATGCTAGTTTTTGAATTATGCCATATTACTGTAACAATATTGGGCACGCTTGGTAGTTCGTAATTAATCATGTATATTAAGGTTTAAAAAAATATTTTAGATAAGTCAAACTAAGTTAAAATCCATCAAAAAAAAATTTATAATTAGATTTTATTTAAGAAATTAATTCCTTTTATTTTAGTAAATATTAATTAGTAATTTAATTGAGCCTCGTGTAATTTTCTCTTTCTGAGAGGCCCTAGGCCATTGCTAGTTAGCTTTGGCCTAGGGCTGCCCTGGTTTTTATGAGCCAAATTGCTTATAGAGAGGAGAAAGATAGAGTTTTCGACTCTATTTTGGTCAAAAAGTATAAATTAATCGGAAATGTTAAAAGCTTTTAGAGACTCGACTCTAATTTTGCCTTGATCTTAATAGACTATTTTTAGAGAGTAGAAGACTGGATCTTAAATTTTTAACCCAGTTTTAGTTTTGTAAATGACATATTTATAGCCTTTTTAGGATTTTTTTGGTCATTTTTATAAGTTGACGTTATGTTGGGAGTCTGACTAAGTCCAATTTTTAAAATTTAGTTTAGTTTTGTGTTTTTGTGATATTTGTCGAGCAATTCATTTTTGTGTTCGCATGAGTCTATTGCACTGAATTCTATGTCTAATGTGTCATAATTCACACTAATGTTTTATCAATTTACGAGACGTTAGTTCAAGAATTTTAGATCTTTTGATGGTCGAAGTGTTAAATTGTGCTTTTGTCCAAGTGTTATGGTTCTAAGTGCTTCGTTGCTAATTAATGGTGCTTCGATAGTCTATTCTTTCGCTCTGATTCAACCTCGACAGTCGTGGTATGAATATGCAAGGATACGTGTTACGTAATGACACCCTTTTCGAGACTGTTGTGGAGTCTTGGTGGACAACCATTACTTCCACATGTAAAATATATTTATGCACTATGCATATATCCTCTCCTACACGACATCTGAGAACTGAAATGGTTTTAGTTACAACGACTTGTAATATTGCAAATAGATATTGTAACTGAAATTTCATCAATTTTAAATTGAGACTCGAAGAGTTCACGCTTGAGAAGTAAGCTAATACTGGAAATTTCAAGACCATATTTTGGGTGCACTTCATGAACTATATCAACATCTATGACACTTGAACCTTTTGGACAATCATATCGATGATAACACTATTTTCATGGTTATTACATAATCGTACATTAGAATTTCATGTCATATGTCCCCTCAGACATCACAAATAAATATAAGTACCGTTTATTAACATTAGATGAGATGCATCAATGGAATTCAATGATCTGATATTGTTATAATTATTATAGTTGGACAAAAATCACAACACATTTTTTATTTCGAAAATAAATAGATAAAGGAAATTATGAGGATGTACATCATGAATGGAAACCATTGCATTTTGTTATTTTATGAAATTAAATGGTTCTTAGCATAGTCATTAATATTAGTTGTACTTGTTATGAGCTATAAAACAAATGGTTTTTAATGCTTGTTTGAGAGAAATTATATGAGTATACGAAATGTGTAGATAATAACTGAGTCGTATTTATAAATGCATAGTTAAAATTAATATTTTACTTTGGCTTTAAATAATAAAAAGATTATAATTTCTCCCAAACATACACCAAATGCAAATCTTAAAAATTAATGCATGTAAAAAGCACTAGCAATCACCAGTCATCGAACGGTATTTTGTTTCAAAATACTCAGCGAATTTTTTTCCTATTTGAGTAATTTGGTCACTCAATTAAACTCGATTAATTTTTTATCTCACGAAATACACGATAATAAGACATCCACGTCGACTCCAGAAACAAAATAAAATTAGATCATTAATGCGAACCTAATTCAAATTGAGTGACAAATATTGTTTACAGCCCAAAATCTATGCTCATGCAAGCAGATAATCATATAGATGCCATATCTATGAGAAGCAGTTATGAAAATAAACAACAAATATTCTTGATATGTGTTCAAGTTGGTAATGAAAGCAGCAAAAAATGACTTCAAAAATATCGTGAATCACTTGGTCTTTGTTTGGTTTAGCTAAAAATGTTAATAAAAATTTAAATTCAAAATTAATAATTAATTTTAACTACATATTTTATGGGACCCTCAACTTTTATTAACTTTTCAATCATATATTTCGTTAACTTTTATCAAGAACTATTAAAATTTTAATTTTTAGCTAAATCAAACAATGCTCGGTATTTCAATTAATAGATAGGCTCTAACTATATATATATTTAAGCAAACAATATTTCCTAGTCTCATTTTTTGCTAAAACTCATTTCCCAAAGAAGTACTTGTGATATAATCAGTTATGGGAGATAGCATGGACAAAGTTACAAGCGTGTAAAAGATACAAACATGACGCTCACACCATCCTTGCCTTTTTCTTGGCCACTCAAAAGCTGCTGACAATAGATTTATACACATACATACAAATATACATGTATATAGATATACAGAGAGTTATATACAAATTTAAACAAGACTTGGACAACAAGAAGTAACATTATTAGCTAGGGTTTGCAAAAAAACATGAAATTTATAATGAATTCTTGTCAAGTGATTTTCTTTGCAGTTGTTCTACTAGGTGGGATTTTGCATCTTAGTCGAGGTAGAGACGACGTAAACTTCGATATCAACTATAATATCACTTGGGGAAATGATCATGTTTTGTCCCTAGACCAAGGAAGAGAAGTTCAGCTTTCCATGGATATACAATCTGGTTATTCATTATTCTTGTTTTATTAAAATCTTCATATTAATATAGTTTAGAGGTGATATTTGAAGGAAAAAAAACTCAATAATGCATAACTTTGAGCATGTTTAATAGTATAGATAGTAAAGTATAAGATTGAATACTTAGTACTCTTATCAAACCCTGGCTTCTTCATATTACCATTGATTTTCATGCCTTGCAATTTCAATTGATCATGTCATTCACATCGATCTTTCTATTTTCTAAACAATTGTATCTATATGGTTAACCTATGTATAAAAGAGAGCCCACAATTATTCACTGATCTTCGACATGCTCCTTACATGCAGGTTGGAGTCATTTTTTCGACTAAAGCTAGTTCACATGCATAAGTAGTATAAATGAGTAGCGATGAGATTTGAACATTGGCCATTTTTTTTAATACCTTAAATTACTTCTCTTCCATTTATTGATTATACAAAAAAATTGAATATATTGTTATATTGTTGCAGTGGCCATTACACTACATCGTCTCAAGTACTTGAGCTTTTTAGCGAACGATTCAACATTGTCAAACTAGACAATCACAATGACAATTGTAGTAGATTGCTTCAAATCTCACTTCCACTTACTTATAAAAATTTCCCGTGTCACGCTATTTGATAAGGAAATTAAGTCCATGTTTGTCATCCTTTAACAAATTAAACTGTTTGGACTTCAGTTTTCGACATGCACATCAAATTTATTTATATATTTTATCAAAAACTTGACCGTGCATAATTTTCATGAAATGGTAATAACACAGATTGAACCGATGCACATGAGGCACTAGTTTGAACTACTTCGTATAAAAGCATAAATTGCTAGTCATGATTATAGTCATATTTATTTATATAAATTTTGTCTTCCACAAACTCTATTATACAATGAATCCCAACTTCGTTTACTACATATTAACATTGCAATAAAATATGAGTAACAGTACATATCACCGTACGTTATTTACATTTATGGCTATTCTGGACCAATTATTCCTTTTATGAATGCTTTAGTTTGTATCATGATAATTTACGCATCGAAAGTCGATTTTTCAGCATTCAAATAAGCCAATTAATCAACCTATTACAGTGTGACACATCACTTGATGCTTATAAGATCAATTCTGCATGTAATTCTTATATAACATGCATTCTTTATTCATTTTTTTTTTCTAGGTTCTATGTTGATGACATCCCAATAAGAATATTCAAGAACAAAACCAACATTGGAGTGAACTATCCATCCCAACCAATGCAAATAGAAGCCAGTTTATGGAATGGGGACAGTTGGGCCACAGATGGAGGCCAAACCAAGACTAATTGGTCACATGCACCATTCAAAGCTCACTTTCAAGGTTTCAATGTTGGTGGCTGCCCATTAGATCAAAACTCCATTAATATCCATCGGTGCTATTCATCAAATTATTGGTGGAATGATAGGAAATTTTGGAAGCTTGACAAGAATCAGCAAAAGGCATATCAGCAAGTGAGACAAAAGTATATGAATTATGATTATTGCTCTGATAGGTCTAGGCATCCTAATATTCCCCCAGACTGTGTGTAAGAGTGCTGTGGTTGCATCTTTTTAATTTCTCATGGGGTTATTTCAATAAAAATTGCTTAAATGTTTGTGAAAGAAAATCAAGAAGAGTCTATGAAGATGAACAATTTTTAAAAAGAACAGATAGGTAGTTCACTCCAATCAAGAAGAGTCTATGAAGATGAACTACACATCACCCGGTTCAAGTTCAAGAGATGACCAAAAAAAAATTACCATTACGCTCATCTAGAGAATTTAGATTCAACATGGACGTTACCACAAATCACCATCGTATTAAAGTAAGAAAAAAACAGAGACCATCCATAATAAGTGGGAACCAAATATGGAACGAGGAACAATTCATGGAAGTATCTATGGCTAACAATTTCAATGGTCGGTACGCAAATTACCAGCTAATGATTTCACAATCACAACCCAACACATCTTAAGTTACAACCTACATATGGTACAGCTTTGTAACACAAAATTGTTGTCAAATGTTGTGAACATGTTGAGGACACTCTTTGCTAGGATGAGATAAAAGAGAGGCAATAAGCTCGAGCAACTGAGAAAGAAGCCTTGCCTGATAACAGATGCCTCCTGACAGGGAGATTCGCTGTGTCAAACGAGTACAATAGAATGCTATTTTACTTTGGCTTTCCATGCATAATATTTTTTGCTTTCTTGCTTGTATCTTTTCCATTCTCTAAGGACCGCGAGAAGGACATGCAGCAAAACTGGCAGAAAGAAGGGCTGTCAAATAACAAGAGACAAATAATTAGACTAATCATCAGAGTACAAGTTTTATTGATAATAAGTTCTACTAACAATTAGACAAGTTAGCAGTAGCAGACATCCATGTCACCAATCACCATCCATAAAGATTTGAATCGTCTCCAACAAAAATATTGGCTACTACTACCCAAATACAGCACCTTTATATAGAGAATAATCGACAAATAGTTTTAATGGTAGCTTATTGTTCCTAGTGAAGTGGTTAAGCTTATTATAGAAGGGGTTATGTTTAGAATATGCAAAAAAGAGAAGTTCCCATGTTCTAGTTGTACGAGGAAGGTAAACCTTACTGTTTCCTTGACTACTTTGACATTAAAACACTATGTATGTTTGGTACACTGAATTAAGCCAAATAATGATTAATTTAATCCTATCCTGCTTTTGGTGCAATTCATACTCGAATTAAATTAATCCAGGATGTTTATCCTCCTTGAGTCAACTGGATAAAATTAAGAGGTGGGCGTAGACCAGATTATTAATTCACCATGTCATGTATTAGGAAATAAATTAGTTAACTTGAATTGAAATGCATAAAAAATAATATGACTAAAAATTTCATTTCTAAGTAAAAAATAAATTTTAACCAAAAAATTAATAATAAGCAGAAAAATCCCATATAAGCAAAAAATCCAATTATAAGTAAAAAAAAAAAAAAAAAAATTCCCATATCAGTAAAAATTCATTTATATCTAAACAATTTAATTGTAATTGAGAATTCTAATTTTAAAATACATATAGAGGTAGAAAAAAATATGCGTATGAGTAAAAAAATTAACTTACAAGTTATACAACTTACTATTAAAAATTTATATACACGTAGAAAAATTCACTTACAATAAAAAGATCACTTAAAAAAAAAAAATAAAAAAAAAAAAAAAAAAAAAAAAAAAAAAAAAAAAAAAAAAAAAAAAAAAAAAACCACTAATAATTTAAAAAACTTGATTACAAGCAAACAAATTACTTATAAATAAACAATATGGTAATAAATTTTTATTTTACCATACTTATAAGATATTCTAATATGATGTAGCACCAAACGCCACATTAGAACACTAAACCATAATCCACCTTAATCCACTTGCTCAATACTCTCTAATTTTATCCCTCACAATCCAATACGATGTCACAAATGTACCCTACATTTATTTGCACCAAGAAAAAAACAAGCATATCTGCAAATGCACGACTTCAAATTGCTCAGCTGATTCATTTGCCACAGGAAGGAGAAACAGGGAACAATACAGGATGTAACTGACTAGACAGTTAAACCTAATATCCCGAGTACTTAAGATAAACGAAGGTACAGATTAGCATGAACATGGAGGGGGCAAAACTTAAATCTATTGTATTACATAGGCATGTACCTTACTTTATCTAGAAGAATACTATATCATAGCTATAGAGTTCCATATGAACCAAATTTGGGTTTTAGCAGATTTACTCAATAGCATTGAGTCGAAAAATCCTCTAGACACCTCCAAATTTCCAGCTCTGGAAATGAGGATCATCTAAGTTGAGCGATCTTGAGTCTCTAAACCTCCGCTCTCGAAGAAATGGGATTGCTAAATAAATATGTTAATTATGAGGAACAAAGTTAATATACAAATGTACCAAAACAAAGTCTTCTATGAAATTCCAAAGGAACTTACAATATTGCACAAGTATTATTCTTAAGGTTACTTCTTAATCATTACCCATCGCTTGCTCTCCTGTCTACCTCCGGGAACAACAAAATGAACTTATCTTATAATCAATACAACTATACAAGTGAATTTCAGTGTAAGAGAACGGACCGAGTAAACAGCAAAACAGTGCTCAAATGAGTAATAGCTGACAGACATCATAGATGGGTGATAAAATGCATCCTCTGCCAATAATCTTGCCTGTCTTGAGGACTCTGGGAAGAATTAGAGTAAGCAATAGCATACTTGAAAGAAGATGTTTAATTACAATCCATGCAAATTGCAGATGAATAGAACATACCAGCAGAAGCATCATAAATTCCGAGCGACGCGTTACTTAAAGTCAATCTTGCAGCTTCAAGAGAATATTTCACCTGCTCAAAAATATTAAAGAATCAGGTTCTACCGATTTCTACAACAATAACCAAAATCAAACTGACATGTAACGAGATATTGATAGGAAAAAGAATTACCTAAAGCAAATTAGAGCAAAATAAAGCACCAAAACTATTATATTTAAAACAAGTGCAGTCCAAAGAAAAAATGACTTCCAGACTGAATATCATTTTACTCAGGATTTTAACAGGGCCATTTAAGCTTATCTGAAACTAGAGACGAAAAAAGATATTAGAAAATCACAATTAGAAGTTAATTTCACAATTTTCTATATAAAAAATTACAGAAATTGATTGGACCATTTTATCTTATTTTTGGAATTATAAACATCAATGGTTAACAAATAAGTAGCAGTGTCATTAACAAATGGACATCCAGAAGAATGAGATTATTCGTAACTCTTTCTTGGATAGTACAGAAAAAGAAAGATGGCTCAACATAAAAAGAGAGAGTTAGAAGTTACACGCTATTGTCTATCAACAAGCTCACACTCAGCAGAATGGAAACAAAAAAGTAAAAGTATGATAAAAGATAAATACCAAAGAAAATACGGTAATCATAGAATCTTCTCCAAGACCCCAACTTATTAATATTTTATAAATAGACGGATCAATTATGACGTTCATTAAAATCACACCCCAGAACGAAATTGCAATAAGACAATTAGAGTCAGAAAACATAAAGAGATTATCCCAGACCACTTTCATAGGCAACACTCACCTGTTTTCCTATATCATCCATAATGATCATTCTTGGAAGTGATTGAACCTGAATGGATAATTTAGTTACAACCAAAAACTTATACTAAAATCAAAAAAATAATTAAAATAATTAAGAGCTCATTACATACCAATCGAGAAAGTGATCCTAAAGTTGTGCCACATTGAAGAAGATTAAAACATGAGTGCTGCCGTGACAACACATCCAATTCCCTTCAAGCATTGAAATAAACAATATAATCACAGCCAGGCTTCAGCGAACAATCACATTTGAACATGCAGAAGGTATATAACATGTACATTTTAACAACATTATAAACGAATGCTATATCATCCATTTCTCTAATGATTTACATTTGCCATTTTTGAGATAATTTATGAACAATGGTGAATGTTAATGTTGAGATAAATCAATTAAAAAAGGTAATAATAGAACGAATAGATAATTGCAGATAATTTAGTGAAAGTAATAGAAGAAACAAAAAAGGAATACTACGTAACATATTACATTAACATGAAGAAAAGTCGACTTTTACAACGTGCCTTCTTAGTTTCCAAAGTCCCTATACTTATCCCAACGACGAGCTGTTCGTAAGAACCAGGAATCACAGGAACTAAACCGTTTCTAGAAATAGAGAAAATAAACTAGATGATACTTTCTTGTGGCACATGAATTTCAATCATCTTTTTATTTTTCTCTCGTGAAGTTGTACAATAATTAACTATTGACAGGTACCTCTATGCTTTTCATTCCTATGTCATGCATTGGGATTAGGGTAATGGCTCACCATTCTGAAAACCCTCTTTCACTAGCTAAAAGTATGGATGTCCCTGATGCACCAACAAAGAGACCATCAGATTTCAAGCCAAAGAGTTGCCGCAACTGCCCCATGAAAACTTCAAAAAGCTTCCTTGAATCCTGTTTTCAGAAAAATACATGTAAAATCAGGAGTGAAATAGGAGCAATATATTACCAGCATGGAGTTTTATTTCTAGACACAAAGCTCAGAAGAAATGCAGAACAGATGACAGCATTTACAAACTAGTCCAACGACAACAAAAGGAAGTGATTGTACCGCATGCTCTTGAGAAAATATGGCATGAAAAAATGAGGAAGAGTAAGTAAAACATATTTGAGTGAAAACCCTAAAGTTAAGGGCTAATAATACAATAGCATTTCTACATGCATGTTCCTCCATCCAACAATAGGCCTCATGACACACAGTTAAGCCATTTATAGTTATCACAGATTAAAAGTAAATCCAATGAAGGCTGTATAAAGTTCTACTAAAGTCATTGACAACATCTACTGACCTCAGAAGAAATCTTATATCTCAGAGGATGCTTAATTTTTGAATCCATCAAACAGGCTGAAGGATTCCAAACAACAATTCCACCCCACATCTGGGAAATGACATTCAAAACTGCTAAGATATTGACAGGCAAAGAAAAGAAGAGAAGAAACTATGAGGTGGAAGCATATGACTCACTGGAGATATAAAGCCATTTGTTGTGGAAATCTCTCCATTTGGAAGCTGCAACTGAAGAGGGCACTCTTTAGCAGATGGAACATACCTGCATAATGATGAAAAGAGGAAACAGAACAAATTATATTCGTGAGATCAAGACGCAATAGTTGGTTACAGATTGAGTGTTCATCTACTTATAAAATCATTTATTTACTTTTCAAAACAGAGAGTATAATATATCTGATTTTATTTATTTTTTTGGTTTTCTTGGTGGCTGCACAATATGTATCTAACTTCAGTATTTCAAGATTAAGAATACCTATATGCTAATGGTTTGACATATATTTACAAAATATCTTCACAGGAGATAATCATTACGAAAAGTTAAAGTGTTAAAGATAATACACGACAAACTGCAAAATTTTTGATAGCCCGCCTGCTGCAACTGAAGTATCCAAATGCCACTCATTTGAATTCACCTATGAAAAGATAAACGAATGAGAAAGCACTATCCAGAGCCTTGGGGCAAAAATTACTCTAACCAAGGCCTGCAACACATGTCACCAAAAAACACTACAATGATTTACAGATTGAAGAAGATAAATTGTACACAACAATTAACTTTTAATTCAAAAAAATATAATAGCATCCACAGGGAAAGTAATTAAGACTGGACATATTACATCTCACAGTGACACGCATAATTGCAATATGCACTGAAGTAGGTTCAAGCTGCATCTTCTGGGTTGTATGATAGATAATATCTTTTGTGAAAGATGTAAAAATGGGAAGGGAATTGACAAAAGCATGGTGTAGTTGAACAAGAATTCAGAAAAACTTACATCAGACACATTATTAAAGAATGAAAAGCTAGTATATTCTTGAGTCAGCATATGTAATATGCCTACATATAGACATCAATACACGTGTGAATATATTCTAATATACATATTTACATCAGTATACATGCATACAATTGCATCAAGGCATGTCCCTAATATATAAGAATTCCCAGTAAAAGCAAGTTGCAGGAATAGCATACAAAGAAAGGAAGATCTTTGGTACTGAAAATATAGCTGTCCAGCCTGTCATCCCAAAAAGAAAATGAGGACTTTGGAGTGTGATATAAAACCTGTACATGAAAGTGACAACAATGTTACGCATCAAGAGGTAATCTAGAACTCCAAAGAGCCAGACAATTGCAAGAAACTTCGTAAGTGTATCTTGAATATATGATACCACAAAAAAATAGAAAGCATTATGACCTGACTCTCCACACTAACATCTGCCAGAGGTTTCAGTGCGTCAATAACAGGAGACAAGAGATTCTCATCTATCTCTTGGAAATCCCTGCAGAATTAAGTAATTTAGATGGATTACAATCTACAGAAGATTCAGAGGATCGTAATATTATGACAGGCCATAAATGCATATTTACCAAAATATTCTTAAAGAGCTCCATCAAAAGGAATGAACATAATCATGCATAACTGTATAAATGATGCCTTGTAAAAACTAAAATGTAACTTAATAAAAGTTAGCAAGAAGCTTGACTTTCTTTATATTATGTCAGTCATTCTAAAACACAATAGTCAACAGACGTAAAGAGTTCTTTTTCAAAAATTACAAAAATTCTGGAAATCATAGCTACTAGATTTATTTCCTAAGGAAATGTCATCCATTCATAACATATCCAAAATTGCAAAACTTCATTCCAGGCAATCGTACTAGAAGTTCGAAAAGCATCAAGCAAAGTTCCATACCAATCATATATCCAATTATGTGGATCAGCATTCAACAAATTGAATGAAAGAACAATTCTTCCATCCGCCCCTAACGGCATAAACTCCCCATGAATCAATCCTTCCTCTTTCCCACCATTCACAAACACGTTAACAAAAATCTCCGCTATCTTCTCTATTGCCTCCTCCTCAAAAATCCTACCCATAATCCACGCATGGCGATACTTCCCCACCACTGCCCTCACTTCCTCCTGTTCTGTCTTCACCACTACCACGGTATAAACCTTCGCACCACTATTATTATCACACAAAGATGCCAAATACTCGTCCAATAGCCCATCTTCATGTTTCTCGGCAAATTTGAATTCATTCAATGCCCCACATTTCCAATCCACATTATTCCCATTGCTAATGCAGTTGGAGTTAGAGTCTAGGGTTACGGAGACGGTGACATTACTAGCACAAGTTCCGCAAGCCAGGGAATTTTTTGCAGCAAATTTCGCCATGTGGGCTTGAACCGAAATCGATAATTGATCAGCCGTATAGGAGTTTGGGTCAAAATTGACAAATACTGCTCTGAAATGGCAAGGAAAGAGAATTGGACTAGATTCAAAGGCGGTGGATAAATCATCAATTTCGCGAAATGGGAGTGGCGATCTGTAAATCTCTATTGATTTTAGCAAGAATGGAAGACCTATAAAGATTAAACAAAAATGAATTAACTTGAACTCAATTATTTAAAACAATAAAAACACAATGCATACATATCAGAATTAACCTAAGAGAAAAGAGAAGAGAACAGCGAGGGATAGAGTGAGGCGTTTCAATCCGGGTTTGGATTTTCGCATGTTTTCCTGGTCGAAGTCCGGATCCAAAGTTGAAGGAGCTTCTGAGATTTCCGCCATCCCTGAATCCTTCCCAGGTGAACTGGAACTGGAACTAGCAGGCTTGATTTTAATAGAGTAGGGGCCGGGAGTAACGTTTCTAATGTTTTTAATTACGTGAAGAAATCAATAGAAAAGCCGTCTTAGCTCAGCCGGTGGAGCGCATGGCTTTTAACCATGTGGTCGTGGGTTCGACTCCCACAGACGGCGATGCCACTAAGTAAATTTATGTTTTGTGGGCTCCTCCGTTTTGAACCTGTAAGCTAAGTGTGGGAAAATGGACGAAGCAATGGGTGCGTTTGAGAAGGGGCAGAAGAATGATGATGTTTCTTGGAGGATGATGATCACTATGCCCTATTTGACTTTCTTTAAATTTTTCATATATATTTTCATAAACATTCACACAATAAAATATTTTGCAAGTAAATTTAAAAATTTTCATATTTTTTAATCTCACACAATGCAAAAAAATCACTATTCAAAACATTATTTTTCCCAAATTTCTTTTTACAATGGCCATGAAAAGGGGCTAAACACGTGAAGAGTGAGAAGATAAGTGAGGCGTTGGATGTGTATCGAGGAATGCAGCAAGAGGGTCTAGAAGGAGATGAGATTGTGAATTGTGATATTAGAGTTGATACAAGCTTGCGCCAATATTGCTAATGTGAAAATGGGTTGCTCAGTGCACGAGTACAAGATTAGAAATATTGTTTTAAAAGGGGAAAAGTGTGGCTAGGCATGAAAGCCAAGTTTTAAACTTTACGAACCTAGGCAAGTTTAGGTGAGGTTTAAGCGTAAAAAAATATAAAAATAAAATAAAAAATTCCTATTTTTAATTATATTTTAATTGTTCAATCACTTTAAAAATCAGTTAACAATTGAAATTATATATACCAATCATCTAAAATTATGAAAACACTATATTTACTTAATAATTTCTCTAATCAGTCAATTATACAATTTTCAAATTTTCGAAATGCAAAAACTAGACTATTTTTCTCAGTTGCAACTTTCAATTAGATAAGTTTTACTTGAAATTTTCTAACATGTTTTTATTTTTGACTTTTATATAGATAAAATCATTTAAAAACTTGAAATTAAAATCAAATAAAAGGCATTTGAAAAAAGAAAAAAAAATTAATAAAGCGCCACCAGGTGCTCAATGCCAAGGTGTGGTGTTTAGCTTGAACCTCGACGAATTTTTTAGAACATTGATTAGATAAGGTTTTTCCATGGATGTTCTGGTTTATACTAGCGTCAGGCATATGTATGCCAAGAATGGAGAGTTATAGATTGCTTGTTTCAACTTTTGGAATGTTGTTTATTGATGCACTTCGATTTATGGGTATCCACAAAATGGTTTTGCTGGAAAAAGCACTGAAATTGTTGATTGAGATGCAGAGTTTTGAATTGGAGCCAGACTTTGTTTCTATTGTTAGTGCGCTTGTTGGAAATTTACTTAATCATGTACAGCATAAAATAAATAAAATTTCAGTTTTCACCAAGGACTTGCTTTGTATTTGATAGAAATTGTGATAAAAATTATACTTTTGTTGATTTCTACAAACTCATTTTGCTTTTCTTGAATTCCAACAATTACGATCTGCAATCACAACTGTCTAATTGTCCAGTCTCCAATGAAAATGTACATAGGAAATAAGATTGAGAGAACTTAGATTTTTAATTTTCTCGTGCTAGCAAGAATATGAATTTTCTCTCTTCTGTTTTCAAACCCTAGCAGCTTATTTACATAAGTCCAAATGTGCTTAGTTCGTCTCTTAAACTTAATCCGGTCAATATTTAATTAACCCAATTACTTAAATCTGGTCCATGAATTAGTTCATTCAATCAATTAATTTCGGCCTATTAATAATCAATCAATTAGTTAATTGTCCAACATTTATTAATTAATTAATTAGTAAATCTCATTCTTCTTTTTTGTATAACACTTTAGATTCTCAATCACGATACTTACCTTGAATTATTATTTTGATCTAATCAAAATTGATAAATTAAAACACCTCTTTTAATTTATCACTAATTCACATTCGTTGTCCCAGATTAATATCTAGCAATATGTCAGGGCAATACATATGACGAAAAATGTTACGGGGTACGACAAAACTAAACTTGTTTGTTTAGCGTGAAACTATAATCTCTTCGTTAATATAATCCGATCAATAACAAGATATGGAAATGTGTCGATTTCAATTATCAATCACATCTTTCATTCCACTATTAAGTCAATATAAGTCAAACCTCTTCTTCGATTTATGAATACACCTTGGCCAAAGATTTTGTTATCACCTTAACTGAATGAAATGTCGATCATAAAATCTTACTATTTAAGAATGAAGAATCTTCTATTGATCATTCATAACCTTCATATGATCTTGACATACCCAAACGATATCATATTAACGGCTCTTAGTAGAGCCACATCCAAGATCACTAAAGTATGACTGTCCTCATACATGGCACTATGATGACCTCAAGTCAAATGACCAATTCCACTATCGAACGTTAGAGATTAATCACTAATACTCAAATGGTTATCCATGTACAATTTCCCAACGGGTCTCCAATGTTTTGTTCTATAACAAAACATTCAGGTGTTCATTTAAGTGTCACCATACTTTAACTTGGAAGATCGACTACTTACGTCACATGTAAGAAATGTCACACGTGATGGTCTATCCTTAATAACGATATCCGTATCTTGCTATTACTTACAAGCACGAATGATTTAAGATTTAACCATCTGTAATTTGTATCTCACAATCATAACTTCTTGTGATTAACAAATTACCCAGATTTGAATATACGGACTCTATTATTTAATTTAATTGAATATTAATTAAATAATAGGTCTGCCATAAAATTACATCAATTATACATTAAAAGTACTTATGTGTAAAGTTGATTGGACTAAGGGCATAACACTTCCACTCGCTGCATGCTCTCAAGTTGGATACACAATTTTGGGCTGACGAATGCATGGATATATTGTCTAAAGACTTGATATGGATCAAGTACCACGTTTATTGATATGTATATTTATGCAAAAAAATGTGGATCAATTTTCTTATGCTCGTGTAACATAAGATCTACTAAGTTCTTATGTGGATCAAGTACCACGTTGATTGATATGTTTTGTGATGTTACATAAAAGATGTACCAGAATTAAGTATCCACTCATACATACGAGAATTGATAGTTAGACTCAATTCAACAAATAAGTAATAGGACTTGTAATCATATGCACTTCACCATCATCAACATTGAAAACGGAAAACAATACATTTACTTCATCTCTCACTTTACCCTTCAGTTTATCCTTCTCTTTATAGCAGTTTTTTATAAAATGTATCGTATTCCCACAACCAAAGTATTTTCTAACCTTAGTCCTAGCTTTTGATCTGGACCTACTCTTGCCCTTATTTTTTATTTCATTACTACTTGACTCGCCACTACCATGGAACCTTTCATGACTATTTTGTCTAAACTAAGTTCTACCCCTCATTATGTGAATCTCGCCGCTTTTCTTATCATGTTTCTCAGCTTTAATCTCCATCTTCTTACTTTTGAAAAAGTCAATGTCAATTTCAGCCCTCAAATTGTCCCTACCATACTTGATCGCATTTTTAACCTTATAAGTATTAGGCATGGAATTAAGCAGAATTATAGCTTTATAGGTTTCCGACACCGTCTCTTCACAGTTAACGATATCTTGGATAAGTTTGTTAAACACGTCTAAATTGTCTCAAGATCCTTTGAATGATCTATTTTAAAGCTGAAAAAAATGTTCACGTAAGTAAAGCTTGTACCGAGTAGATTTGAGCAAATACAAGTTCTCTAATTTTTTTCCAAAGTTCTTTGGTGATTTTTAGTTTATTCATTTTTCTCAAAATAACGTCAGACAAGTGTAAAATAATTAAAGTATAAGTAAGCTCGTCGACATCTTCTTTTGTTCTTCTGAAACATCGACAGAGAAATTGTCTTTAATGTCCTTTAAAACTTTTTATTGGATCAAAATACCTCTCATCTTTTATTACCATATAGAAAAATCATATTTTTCATTAAAAATTTTCAAATCAAAAGTGTGAGTTGCCATTTTTACGAATCAACTAAAAAATGCACAGAATCACAATTAAATCATACAAAGTAGCCTTAGGGTCACAGACAATACACACAATTCTAGATTCCCAGAGTTTCGTAAGATTAACGATCTTAGAACTAGATATTCTAATAGAATTAGCGTGGCAATAACAAAGTATGTAAACTAAAGCAATTGTAAACAGTGTATACTGTAGATGTAATAAATGAATTTTATCAATAAATACTTCAATCACGTAAGAGCAAGTAATTCTTAATTTTTAGCACAAGCAATAGTTACCCTCCACATGACAATCCCAACCTATTGTCACCCCATACGATGACGTGCTAATGTTGAAATTTAATTGGGATAAGCCGATTTACCAGAACGGACTACATCTAAAGGTCCGCAAAATCAAGAGATGTGAATTTGCTACTTTATGGTTACCACTATTCGCCCTAAAGATTCAACAAATATTCCAATGCAATTGAACGATGATTACAAATCGAGTGTCCAGGGGCAAAATCGTTAAAAAATTTCTATTTAACCTGAAACACGAAATTAAAGATATCAGTACATTTGAAAAATTAATACAAGCAACCCGTCTAAAGAAAACTTCTCCAGAGTCATCGCCACGCCCGTCGTCGATCACCGCCACTAGCTGAAGTTGGGTCTAGTCTTAGTTTGTTCGGCCAATGACTAGTTTGGTCAGAATCGGAGTTTTCAGGTTCAAATAGTTTGGAAAAATCGAATTTGACTATGATATTTGATCTGAAAAAGATCCACCAAGGCCCTAATACCAGATATTGTGCGGAAGAAAAGATCACAAAGGAAAATTAATACGAGCAACATGTCTAAAGAAAACTTCTCCAGAGTCACCGTTACATCCGTCGCTGATCACCGCCACTAGCTAAAGTTGGGTCTGGTCTTAGTTTGTTCGGCCAGTGACTAGTTTAGTCAGAATCGGAGTTTTCAGGTTCAGCTAGTTTGGGAAAATCGAATTTGATTGCAATATTTGAACTAAAAAAGCTCCACCAAGGCTCTAATGCCACATATTGTGTGGAAGAAAAGATCACAAGGCTTTTCCCAAGCTCAATTTCTCCAATAATCGACACCACTATGAAAACAACCCAAACTCCCCAACCACTTCTCACTTATGGTTGCTTTTTG